AGTGGTTAAGAGCACTGGCTGCTCTTGCTGAGGACCCAGGTTTGGTTCCCAGCACCCACAAGGCCACTAACAACTGTCCATAACTCCAGTTCCAGGGGATCTGACGCCCTTCTGGCCTCCATAGTCATTGCACACATGTGGTGTGTTCATATACATGCAGGCAAAACACTCATACACACAAAATAAATAAAAATAAATTTGAAAAAGAAAGACAAGCCCTAAGTTAACAGAAGGAAAAGATCAGAACACAAATCAATAAAATAGAAAACACACACACAAAGAGAAAATCAATGTAATCAAAGTTGGTTCTTTGAGTCAACAAAACTGATGAGCAGTTTGTTCCACTAATCAAGAAAAAGGAGAGAAGACACAAGTTACATTATGAAAAAAAGAAGAAGCTCAAGATACAGAACCAACTTAAGTGTCTATCAATGCATAATTGGATAGTGTTGTGTATACAAAATGGAATACTACTCCACCCTAGGGAGAAACAAATCCTGTCATCTGCAGCAATGTAGATGAATTTGGAGGACGTGATATTAGTGAAATAAGACAAAGGCAGAAGGATTGTTTTTATCTCACATATGGAATGTGAAAAAGTCAAACTCAGAAAAGTACAGTGGTCATTACCAGGGGCTGGGGACAGAGGATGGAGAAGATGTTGGAGAAAGGACACGAAATTTAAGTTAAAAAGAGGAATATGGAGCCAGCGAGGTGGCTCAGCAGGTAAAAGCCCTTGTCAAGCCTGATAACCTGAGTTTGATCCCCAGAACACTCATGGCGGAAGGAGAGAGATACCTGAAAGTCATCCTGTGACCTCCACACGTATGCAGTAGCATGCACTTTCCCACACACATATACACATGCATATCTATACAATAAATATTATAAAAATTAGAAAATATATGTTCTTGATAACTATTGTACACCATGGAGAAAATAATTAATAGCAGTCTACTGAGAGTAGATTTTTAAGAGTTTTTGTTACAAAAATAATGATGGGTATATGGGCAAATGGATGCCTGGCCAGTGTTCCACAGCATATGCATGTCTGTCTCAAAGCATCATGCTAGATGCCATAAATATATGTGATTTTTTTTAATGTCAATTAAATTTGATTAATTAAAAATATTACTACAGCTCTTCAGAAACTAAAAGATAAAGGGGTTTTAGAGGACTATGATAAACAATTTACGTTGCTAACAAATAGCATGACTTAGATAAAATGGAAAAATTCTTAGTATAACAAATTATCAAGACTGACACCAGTACAAAGAGAAAGGCTGGAAAGTTCTTAAAATTGAAGGAATCATTTGTGGTGGCACATACTTGTAATCCTAGCACTTATGAAACTGAGGCAGGAGAATATCAAATTCATCTTTTGACTATTTAGTTCAAAGCCAGTCTGAGCTTCACGAGTTCTGGCTTTAAAAAAAAAAAAAAAAAAAGCAATGCATTACATTAACACTGAACTGAAGAGTACCACTTTATCCAGTATTATGAAGTATTATTTTATCCAGAGTAACAAAGCAAGAGTGATGAATTAAAGGCATGCTGATCGGAAAAGAAGGAGTAACATTTTATCTTCACAGAAAACATTATCTATGTAGAAAAACCTAAAATATCAATACAAAGCAGGAAGGGAGGTGGTGAGATAGGTCAGCTAGCAAATTGCTTGCAATTCAAGTCTGACAGGCTGCGTTCAATGCCCAGAACACATGTAAAGGTAGAAGAGAGCCAAGTTCACGAAGTGTGTCTATGACCTTCTCTTTCACACTGTGACACACACACACACACACACACACACACACACGCCACCACTACCACCACCATTTTATGTACACACACAATAATAATAATAAAATGAAATGTAAAAACTATGGTGGCTCATGGGCAGCTAAGACAGAAGGATTAAGTTCAAGCCCAGCATGAGTCACAAAACGAGATGCCCTGAGGAAACAAACAAAATACTAGAAGTAATAAACAAGTTTAACACAACTGGTAGATACAGGACTATTTTTAGACCATGGAGCACTTTGTGAATTTGCATGTCATTCTTGTACAGGGGCCACCCTAATCTCTCTATATTATTCCAATTTTAGTAAATGTGCTGCCGAAGCAAGCATAAAACAAAAAAAAATTTTTTTAAAGAATTTTCATCCAAATCTTATAACACATATAAAAAGAAACTTAAAATAAATAACACATCCAATGTAAGATTTGCCATTGTAAAGTTTCTGAAAGAACACATACCAAAAAATGTTTACTGTGTGTTAGGCAAACTATCTTAGACGTAACACTGTCAGCATGGTTCATAGGAAAAGGGATCAATTAGACTGGCAAAATCCAAACTTCTACTTTCAAACAATATTTTTTAAAAAGTAAAAAAGGCAAATCACAAATTAGAAGACTACATTTGGAAATATGTCTGATGAAGAACTTGTATGAGGGACTGGAGAGATGGCTCAGCACTGGCTGCTCTTGCAGAAGAACCAGATTCGATTCCCAGCACCTACATGGCAGTTAACAACCATCTGTAACTCCAGTTCCAGGAGATCTGACACCTTCTTCTGACCTCCATGGGCATTGCACAACATGGGTGCATAACACACATGCAGACAATACATTCATACACATAAAATAGAACAATAATAAATAAAATACTTTAAAAGAAGTATTTTATACCCAAAATATACTTCTAAAACCTCTCAAAGTTCAATAATAATGAAAACAGCATACTTAAAAAAAATAATTTATTGAGAATTTCATACAGGGATATAAGCATATAAGGTGTTTGGATCAAATCCATGCCTGCTCCCTCCCCTGCAACTCCTCCCATATCTTCCCATCACTTTTTTCTTATTACTTCATGTACTCTTTCTTCTTCCCCCCCCCACCCCAT